GGACTTGAACACAGCACTGGAAGGGACACTGAGCAAATCTGCAGGTGATACAAAGCTGGGAGGAGCTGTTGACTCCCTCGAAGGCAGGGAGGCCCTACAGAGAGACCTCTAGAGATGAGAGGCCAGGGCATTCACCAACTATGTGAAATTCAACAAGGGAAAGTGTTGGGTTCTGCATCTGGGATGGGGCAACCCTGGATGTACGGACAGACTGGGGAATGAGAGGCTGGAAAGCAGCACCATGGAAAGGGGCCTGGGGGTCCTGGTGGATGGAAAGCTGAATCTGAGCCAGCAGTGCCCTGGCAGCCAGGAGGGCCAAGCGTGTCCTGGGGACATCAGGCCCAGCATGGCCAGCCGGGCAAGGAGGGGATTGTCCCACTCTGCTCTGGGCTGGGGTGGCCTCACCTCCAGTGCTGGGGGCACTTCTGGGTGCCACAGTACAAAAAAGACATGACGTTTTTAAAGAACATCCAAAGGAGGGCAGTTGTTGTAGTGCATCTAAAAATCATGGTATGTCCAGGGGTCCCCCAGGAGAAGATTGCAACAGGCAGTGAGGATGGTGAAGGGTCTGGAGGGCAATGAGATGGTGAAGCCATGTGAGGAGGGGCTGAGATCACTGGGCTCAGCCTGGAGGAGACCTCACTGCAGTTACAACTTCCTCATCAGGGAAGACAAAGGGTGGGCACTGGTCTTTTCTCTCGGTGACTACTGGCAGCACCCAAGGGAATGGTCTGAAGCTGTGCCAGGGGAGGTTTAGTTTGGATACTGGAAAAAGGTTCTTCACCCAGAAGGTGGTTGAGCACTGGAACAGGTTCTCCAGGGAAACAGTCACAGCACCAAGCCTGACAGAGTTCAAGACGTGTGTGAAAAATGCTCTCAGGCACGTGGTGTGAATTCTTCCAACTCAGAATATTCTGTGATTCTAATACAGACAAAATGGCATGCAAAGTTTTGCACTTTCAGTCATAAAAACCTGTTACAAGTTACACTTATGCACTGCCAGCTAGTTAATGCCAAAAATTCTGCTTCCTTCAGTGCTGCACTGATTATGAATACTTTTCACTGCATATCACTCCAGTTTCTTTATACCACATTTCCACAGTGAGTGTGGCAGAAGTGCTGTACCGTGGAAAGATGTTTATATTTCTAATCATCATAATTCCTTCTTTGTCACTGCATTCATGTTGAAATCTTTTATTATGTTACAAGACTTTTCACTTATTGTTTATTTTTTCCTTTTCCCCCCTATTTTTTCATACATTGAGAAATTAAGTCTGCACACTTCAACAGAATTCACCCATGCTTATAAGCCTAAAAGTAAACATGCTCAAAAATGCCGAGGTTTGACACAGTTCCAGAAAGCATGTGAGCACAAATCCAACTTGAGATAAATCAACAGTTGAGACATTTGCAACTGTGTCAGAAATTTAACCCTGTAATTAAATGCCAAGTTGTGGATGTTAAACTATTTTAATAATCCTCCCAGTAGGACTGTCTAATAAACTGCTTGCTTTGGCAACTGACTGGCCTATCAAGAAAACTCTTGATGAGCGAATTATTTAGCTATCAGGTTACAATAAGCCGAAAAGGAAATGTAATTCCAGTGAGAAGTAGAATAACATACAGCAGTTGGGAGAATTAAAATGTTCGAACATGCACATCACTAATGTACAGCTGATGAGAGACTTCTCAACACAACTGAAAGCTGGGGAAAAAAATGAACCTAAATGTTTATTGCAATGATCTCATTTAAAGGCAATAACCCCTCAGGGTTCAAGATTCAACTTAACGAACCATTAACGAACTCCAGCTCTGAAGCGATTATTTCACCCAACGAGCTCTCACTGCTCCCAACACACCACAACTCTGTTCCTTTCGGCTGTAAACCTGTGGCTGACACAGGACATGGCACAGGCAAAATACCTGGCTAAAGAGTGTAAAGATGAGAAATATGTACACTATGTTGAGTTTTATTTCTGAACTGCAGCTTGCTTTACAAGGGACAGATCTGCAGACCAGCCAGCACTCCGGTTTTTGCAATGATCATGCCCTTCAGGTGAGAAGTCTCCATGTACCAGGCAGAGATAGGGCCATGTGTGGGAGTGTTTTTCTGCTTCTGAAATCTGTGAATAAACTTGTGCTTTGGTCATGGAGCCTTCCTGGCAGAGGGTGAGGCACAGGCAGGTACTTACAGCAGAGGGCTTTCTGCAGCCTGCGGAGTTTCATCGCAGTCCTGTATGCCGAGAACCTGACGTTGTTCAGGTCAGCTGTAGGGAGGCAATATTAGAATAAAAGATCAGCATTACACACTACAAATAACCAGACTCACAAAGACGTTATGTTATGTTGAACTACAAGACTATAACCGTTGGTTAATAAAACAGACGGGAAAAATATTTATTAGAAATTTCACTGAGCTAAATCCCTCAAATCTTGACAGTCAACCATCCAAAAAAATCCCAAAGTTCTAAAGTGTTACTTCCTTTTGTTCAAAGGCACTGAACTAAAGAGGACTTGAAAGGACAACATCAGTGACTGCAGCAGTGTGTCTGAAAATACTGCAGAGCTGTTCATACTGAAGGCACTGTGAGGGAGATGAGACCCTGAAACTCTTCCTCGCTCACCTTATGCACCAGCCAGGCTGTGTGCAGGCAGTCCCAAGGGAAAACCTCTGCCCAGAAAAGAAAAAAAAGGTGACTCTCAGCTACTGTTAAAACAAAAAGCTTATTAAAAATATCCAATTAAACTTCTGTGCTTTTTATCTAAGCAGGCTCCAGCCATGCCCAGAGACGTAGAGCCTTTCTGGAGAGAAGCCAGCTCACACAGCCAGGTGAGTTTCCAGGTCCCCAGCTGCAAAATGGCAGGGAGCCAGTGGCTCTGGCAGCATACCAGGGAATGGCACCCAGTTGAGAAGACATCTGGCTCAACTTTTGCTAGAGCTGTCCTCATACATTTAACAAAATGACGGTATCAGCATAAGTCCCCACTGAATAGTTTCACCATGGCTTGCAAAACCTCCTGGACACTGGGGACAAAGACACACCAGAGCAGAGCACAGAAGCTGGTTCTCAAGGGGCACTGCCAGCAGCTGCACTGGGAACTGAGGAGTGGCAGGAGACACACTTGTACGCTACAGGGCAGCCACCCACCACTGAAAAAACAGATGCGTGCTCCCTGCCACCTACCCAACTAATTCCTGGGCACAGACACTCCTGTGCAGCCTAAGGATCATTCCCAAGAGATTTCTTGGCATATTGCAACTTAAGGGTTTTCCAGAACAGAATTACACTACTTGTGCCAACCAGTTTCAGCACCTGACAACACCACTGAATGCATTTAGTTTACTGAGGAAACCCATGGAGCCTAAGGAATTACTGATGGGAAAGTGTTTAGAAAATGTAAACTACAATGTAAATATAAAAAGAACATTAGGGGAAAAAATGTAGTGGCTCAAAATAAAGGTCCCTTTAGCTCAATAAGCTTCCTTTAAGCCTGACAGACTCTTAGAGAAAGAACATGATGAAAAACAGAAAGACAAAACATTTCCTTGCTGGCATACAAGCTAAGGTGCTATAAAGCTTTTTGAAATGTGGTAGCTTGGGTATAACTATCCTAACATCATTTATAATACTGTATAGGTATAGGTAGCAGAGGGAATATAGTCTCAATTACATTAATTTTAATTAAGCTATTCTGAATGAATAATATGAGGTATAACAATTCAGTAGTTTTGTATACCGTAGTAAAAGCTGTGGAATGTTTCTGAAACACGTCTTAGAGCAGAAAAGGAAGTTTCAGCTTTTTATATAACTTCTTTTTCTTTGCACAGTTGCATATACCCTTTTAATGGGCACATCCGTGTATTGCTCCTGCCAGCTCTGTCTCTCACCGTCATCCTGACAGGTCCTTTATGTGGTGTAGAATACAGTGAGAAGTTTAAATAATGCAACTTTATTTGTCTTAAATGGAAATTAATAAAGCAGTCTCTCACAAACACTCCATGAATTCAATTACATTTTGTACCCTTGTTGCAAATCTGTATTTGTATTCTGTAGAAGAGTATTATTGCTAGCATTTGACAAAATGAAGAAGCCTTTCTTAAATTTTCCCCGAGTGTTCTGAAAAAAGCTTATCTATTTATTATTTACATTTTCAGAAATGTGAGTTAATATACATGCATATTTCAGGCACCAATCAAGGCAGAAAGTACAATCCATGAAGACATTTAATCCTGGAAGTGCTACAGTTTACATCTATTTTCCTGTATATGTAATACACACTGAATTTATCATCAACCTTAACGACACTGCTGCCAAGAAGCATCTGCTCTAAATGATGAAGCAGCAATGCCAGGTGCTCATTTTGGAGCCCTCATCTCAGGTTTTGGAAAAGCAGCAGCATCACTGCTCATTTGGCTCTGCAAGCCAAGGCTGAGCCGTCGCACACCTCCACTGCCACCCTCGTCACTGTCACCAGGATTAACCCACACCCAGCTACTGTCCCTGTGCCAACTGCTCACCTCTGTCCTCCTCATGCCACCACCTCCATGCTCCTGATGGACAGCTGTCTTACCAGATGGTAACAGTCACTTAAGGTCACTGGATCTTAATGATTTCGCTTTTCCCCTCCCTGTGCCCATGAAACTGTCAGTGGTTTCTTTCCTCCCCCGGAGCTACTGCTGGAACAAACATGTTGCTCTGGGTAGGAAGGAAAGGAGCCCAGGCCCCTCCTAACTGGGTTCAAAACACTTCACTTGCTGGATGAGACCCCATTTACATGAACCACAGAACACAAGACTGCCAGGGAATGAGTCTTGGCCCTAGGCTGGGGAGTGCTGGACATAATGTCACCCCTGAGGGTGAGTGGGGGGACCTCGAGAAAGGAGCACAGACACATCGCCTGGTCACACCCCAGCTGCTCCTGCTGGGAAGAGGAAGAGGAGGGAGGAAGGGGGCTCAAGCAGCAGCAACCTTCCAAAAAGCCTATGGAAACACCACTACCTCTCTGTGTTGTTAAATTGTTTTTGCTTTTTTCCTTCCTGGATCCTAATGGGAAAAAAAAAAGTTGCTTTCTCCACTCCTACACAGTCCACTGAAAGAGTTAGAACCCATTAAGCCCTGTTTCCAAAGCTTTTATCATTTTGGAGCAGGCTGAGGAGCTCAGTGCACCACACAAGTTTTCCTCCAGCCTTTTCCTCCCACTCCTAGCAAGTATGTACCACTTCACCCTCTGAATGGGGTGGTCAGAGGGCTGAAAAGCCCTTGCTGTATTGTGAAACTTTTGCAAGTCATTAACTATACTCCCTCCTCTTTCTCAAAAGGCAACTTTCAAGCTCTGAACAAAAAAATGTAAATGCCCAAGAGCATAATCTGTTTATGGTCTGAAACAACGATGCAGTGGAAGAGGTCACCTGGCCCCTGGAAAGGAACAGACAGAAGAAAGGATCACGAGGGAGTATTTGGTGACATATTTACATCCCAGAGCAAAGAGGAATCATGACTTTCCCATCAGTCAGCTATGAATGACCTCTCTGTTCAAGTGAATATATATCTTTCTCTATCTAATAACATGATAACAGTGAACAAGAATTAGTGCTTTTATTACAAATGCAGCTTTAATGAAGGGTACTTCAGTTCAGACTGTTGACAGGAAAAACTCAAATCAGAAATACTGTGGAAAGATGATAATTAAATTCTAACATTTTCTGCATAATTCTGCATGTTGAGAGCAATCTCAAAACATAAGGGCTGTATGTTCTATTTCTAAAGTATTCAAGACACACCTGCAATTACATGCAGCAGATATTTTTGCTAGTGGATAATCAAGCAAAAAACCCCATTCCTTTGAGAAGTGGTCAGTGATTCAAACCACCTGCTGGAACGTCTCACTGACTACTGACACAGAATCTAATGAAATCTTCTGGTTGGGCTTTTTTTTTTAAATCCTCCCTTGATAAATCCTGGATTTTACATTGGGATATGAGTAGTATATTTAGAGGAAAAGCATATTCTTGAGCCTTGACTTCATAAAATAGCTTGTAAAATAACTAAAAGCAATAAAAAAACTAAAATCAGTAAGTTTTCTAAAATAGCCTATTTAAGAAGAAGTTTAGCATCTAGCATGAGGAGGTATTTGCTTGTATTCTTATGGAGTCACATCTACAACCCAGACATCAGGTTTTAAGTAAGGTGTTATAACTGAACTGCTTTTCACGGTGGTTCATAACCAGTCTGAACCCTTCCACAGCTGCTGCATCTGCTAAGAGACAGGGAGGTTCCATGTGATATCATCCCATCCTGCATGACAGAGTCATCTCACTGTGTTTAAAAGCACTGGGATGGGCCAGGCTACCTCCCACCAAAAGCTGTTCATATCATTTATCTCTCACAATGTAATCTGAACGCAGCTCATAAAGTCCTTTCTACCTGGGAACTATCTTTCCTCCTTACTTTAAAATGGGGTTTCTTGTTTGTATTATTATGAGTATTATTATAATTATTTTTTTTAGTTAATGAGGGCAAAACACACACTCTTCATTTGGTCCTATGGACAGCAATTATCTCACTGGCTGGATATTGTCTAACTGAAATGAGCCACTTACATACTTCAGGTGGTTTGAGTAAAATTTAGCAAATTAACAACTTAATTCTTTTAAAGAAATCAGATGTCATCAGGTTAAATCCTCATTGTCATTTGATAAGATGTACAGTGTTCTGGGTTGGTTTTTTTTTTTTACTCTCAGGTGCAAGGACAGAAAATGTGAACCTAGAGCGATATACCTTGAAAGCCTTACTCAGCCACAGCTTGTGACATGATCATAGACTGTTCATAAATACACTGCCTGGGGATAACATATTCTGGGAATTACAATGACTTCCTAACAGAAGTTAAAATCTCTTCACTGGACAGTCCTGAATAGACAGTAATTCCTCTACAACCACTAAACTTTCCTTGTTTCATCAGACATTAGTGTTTCTCTTGCTTTTTTAAGAAGCTTCAGCTCACATTGTTTCAACACAGCTGAGATTTCCTGTCCAGCTGGTAAGAATGCTGGGTTTCCTCCTGCTGCCCAAAACCTGTAAATTAATCTTTTAATGGTGCCCTACAGTGATATATATTGCCTCTTCTGGAATTGTAATTTTAAAATGCAAATTACACAAATGCACAAAGGAAAGAAATTAATCAAGTAACGCTGCTTAATATCAGCTGAGTCTCAGCCATTGACTTTTATTATAACAATAATTAATGCTATCATCTACACTGCTTT